CCATTCCACCTGTCCCCAATAAAAACTTTTATGCCACTTGGAATTTTTTATATCTGGGGACTTAACCATTTTTTCTATGTCTCTATTGCTACCTCGTTTCCCCTCTCCAATCCCAAACAACCCCCCCCCCAAAAAAAAACCTTAAAAACCTCCACTGTTCTCCACTCAGTCTGGAATACCACATTTATAATTGTAATGTGTGTGCACATGTATGTATGTGTATAGTTTGTATCTGTCCAGTTAACTTCTGTGTTTACTTATGGATGTATTGCTATTGTAAACATATTAGCTTTGTATTCTATTTGGCAGGACTAGAGGTAGAATTTTCCTTTTTTAGGCCAATGGCAGAATCAGATCATCTAATTTTATTTTTTATTTTATGTGTATGAGTGTTTTGCCTGCATGTTTGTAGGTGCACCACATGCATGCAGTGGCCACAGAGGACAGAAGAGCAATGTTGGATCCCCTGGAACTGAAGTTATACTATATAGACTGTTGTTAGCCACTATGTGGGTTCTAGGGACCAAACCTAGATCCTCTACAAGAGCAGCCAGTGCTCTTAACCACTGAGCCATCTCTCTAGCCCTCAGATTATCTAATTTAAAAAATTCTTCCAGTATTTATGTTTATATTAAACACTAGTATAAGTTTTTAATTCAAATACATGTTTATTTGTTCAAAGAATTATTATTTTTTGAGGTTTATCTTTGTGGTAGAGAGCTTGACTAACATGCCTGCACACAGCCTTGTGTTTGATCCTTTCATTCCCCCCACATAAACTTCTATGTGTTATGTGATTGTTGCAGCATTGTTGAAAATACAGGAAATAATACGAAATAGCTAAATTATCCCATAGACAGTAATACTATGCAACAGTAATAAAATTATGGGAGCTCTTTAGATTTTGTGTCATCGTATGAAATAATAGCCAATGCTCTACTGTAAGAAAATAAAAGCAAGTAATGGCATGCTTGAGATTTACTTCAATAGGTAAACCTAAGGTTATAGCAAAATTTAAAGGATCACATTTACATGGGCAAGTTCAACCTCAAGTGTGAGCATCTCCTTGCTAGGCCATGTTGGCAAAGTAGCATCTTGTAGCAGTTCCCTAAGGTGACTTGTATATTAACTTTAAATATTGTATTCTTTAGACACTTACTGAAAACTGTAGAAATAACGTGTAAAGTTATTAAAGAAAAACCCTGTTATATCACTAAGTATCAATATTGTTTTACCGTACCCAAAACAAAAAACAACAAAAAAAGTGACCATCTCCTTAAATTGTGCCCACCTTCCTGTTTACTTTACCTTCACCCCATAGTTAGGAGCCCCCAAAGGGGAGAAATAGTTGGTATGAGAACCAATGAAACAAGATTGGCTATAAATTTGCAATTGTTAAAGCTAGGTGACTACATGGTCTCACTGTGTAGCCCTGGATGGCCTGGAACTTGCTATATAAACCAGGCTGGTCTTGAACTTACAAAGATCCACTTGGCTCAGTCTCCTGAGAATGGGGATTAAAGTCGTGGAAACTCATGGATTTTATTACAGTTTCTTGTAAATATGCTTAAAGATTTCCCTAATAAAGCAGAATACCATTATTTTTTAAAATTTTATTTAGTTGAGATCCTAACAGACAGCCTGAGAGGGTGGGTTCTGCCCTCCATCAGTGTAGTGGCTCTGATCTCAGCAGATGGCCAGAGACTGCTGGCAAATGGCCAGAGTTCTGGCCTGCCTCTGGCCTCTCTCTGATAGAGGGGCTGAGAACGTAGGGGACTACCTGCGAGCCCCTGTACCCTGCCTCCACAGGGTGGTGAGCTTCCCTTAATTGTGCCATTCCCATCCCCCTACCTGGGATTTTGTTAGGCCCCTCCCAAGGCCCCAGGGCAGATCTGGCTTTGGTAGGCTAAGGCTGAGATCCTAGCAAACAGCCTGAGAGGGTGGACTGCCTCAGAGCACTGAGATCCTGCCTCCACATGGTGAAGGAAGCCTGAGTGTACCTGACTGGAACCTGAATTGGGCTTCTGTGGGTATTCCTGAATAGCTGATCTGAAGCCATCAGTTCCCTCCAAATTAAACCTGAGAGAACCTGAACCCTGTACCAACCAGCTTTACATAACCAA